CGTCATCAAATGATCTAGATTAGTGAAATGCGGCAAAAACTACCAGAGCTTGATTTATACAAATAGGGTTTCCCTATGGTCTTCTGTGAAGAATTTGGGTAATTTTAATAAACTACGAAATTTTAAGTTGAATTGCCAGAGGGAGTGGGTCTAATTCTTCTTGTAGTTTAAGCGATTTTAGGTCAATTTTATTTTGTATCTTAAATCTATTTTTGTACGAAAAAGATATTCGATAAACCTAAAAAAAATCCCTTCTAAAGTTCAGTAAGTATTGTAAGAAGATCATGAATTTTTATTACTAATTTACAATTAGTTTTTCTTTAAAGTTTCTTTAAACTAGAAAACGATAGACACAACGGCCTCAAGAAGCCAAGCTTTAAACTTTAAAATATCTTATAGCTTGGAAAAATGATTTGTCTTTCTTAACCTCAAAATTCTACTTTGCTAAAAAACTTAGATCCAAATAGTTTTTAAGCTAAAGTCATACTTTTCTCTACAGTTTATCAATCTTTTCAAGCCCCGCATTTCCCACGAACTCTAGACCCCTACTTTATTTAAGTATCGGAGGAATTCCAACAAAAACAAGAGCTATAGCCATCGCGGAATGTGTCGTCGTCACTTCATCAAGTGGCAGTGGTGCGGCCTGCTGTATATCGGCGACACTCGACTATTAGCCACTGCCTGCTTGATCACGTGTTGACACACACGCCACGGCCATGCTAATAGCCTCTCCACACTTCTTCACTTCTAGACCAAAACATATCTGCACTCTTTATAAATAACATTAAAGTGGGAGTAATATAAGTCGCAGTAAATAAATAATGAACGCTAAGTTTTGTGGCTCTACAGTGTACCGTAATCCGTTTTAGCGAATTCCCCATATAGGGAATAAGCTATTACCGTAGGTCTCATGGTAAGACCTAGACCCGGGACCGATTTACTTTTTCGTTTTGAGGTCCCCAGAGGCCAAAAACACCATCCGTTCAAATTCACATATATATATTTATTTATATATTTATTTATATATGTGTCCGTTAGCGCGATAACTCAAGCAAAATTGATCCGATTTTGATGAAATTTGGTACAAACGTGTAAACCTACATTTATTCGAACGAGTTCGCGAACCAGCATAATCGGACCATGGGATCAGGGGTTTATGGGGGGTTTTATGGGGTAAAAATGGGTTTTTCTCATTTTTGACCCTAAAAACTTTAAATTTCTAAATTTCTCTCTAGACCATTTTGAAGAGCTTAAAAACAAATAATGTAGTATATTGAAGTGTTTTTGAATGTCCATTGACTACGGAGAAAATTTAAAAAATTTAAATTTAAAATTCCCATGTTATTCTTATGGAGAATAAATAAACTGTTCTAGTTTGCTTGTTTATGGATATATTTTAATCAAATTTGGCAATTTGGTTTATTTCATACTAAGCTATCAATATTTCAATTGAAAAAAACACACCTCAACATCTTCCCCGTAGCAGCAAACCTAACTACTCACTAAAATTAATGTTATAGGAAATAAATCTGAAAATTTATTGGGAATATTTTAACAGAAATCAAGCCGGGTAAATGGAAATTCGCTTAGTATGCAGGTTTGCTGCGACGGGGGTATTTATCACTCATTTGGCCTGGTAACAAATAGTAGGCCTACGGTACGATAAGACCTAAGCCTCAACATCCAAAGTGAAAGCTATTTTTTTACCGTTCAATATAGTCCCTGTATTATGTAGTACATTTGGCACTAAGATCTGAAGACGAGGTTCTAAGGCTCGAGGTAGTGTTTGAATTTCGAGACATATCGAAAATTGTTCACCATTTACAATAATCGTTCGTACAAGGAGAGAACGCGATTTATTGACTTTACTAAAAGCAAGTTTCGTAACACAGTATCCTTTGGTAACCAGAACAACAACATTTTAAAACACTGTGCAGCTGGATGACGTTCACTTAATTATTTTAGACCAATATTGTTCACATTTGATCATCAATTTGAGTTGTTAACACTGCAGTGAGATTGTTAAGTTTGATGTAGGCCTATCTTCAAAATGTGTACATTTAGAAAGGAAGAAACTGTTTTTTACACAACTATTGTACAGCACAAAGGCATAATAGACAAATCACAAAACTATGGTTTTTAAACCCTTTGGTTGGCGCTTTTATGTACAAAAAATAGTCATATGCGTATGTTAAAAAATTTAAATATGCTTTAGGGTTTCGACGTTGTATTATAGATTATATTAAGTGCAGGGCTAAGTTTTTTACTGCTATCTTGAAAATAGAGCCTGTAACAAACTGAGGGATACATTAATATCTTCTTAGGCTTTCGTGGCCAGTGTAATTTCTCTGCTCGGTGTCATGCGAGTTCATAGTGGTAAGTACATAGATAGTTTTTGAGTACTCAAAGCCCACAAAGTCACCAGTAGGTTCTTTTCATCAAACAATAATCTTCTTCATGGTCCCGTTCAGTTTTGACAGCCCTGCTACTGCTGGTGTTCTAGGCTAAGCAGCAGGCTGGTATTCTAGCAGGTAGGCTAAGTGGCTCAAGTGGCCTATTCCCATCTTAGTGTTGTGCGTCACTGGCCACTTGGCCACTTGGCCACTTATCTGTCTCTACCTCAACCTAGGAACACTCAAAGGCCGCAACTATCCTATAAGACTACGGATTTAAAATAGCTAGAGGATTGACATCTGTTATAGTCTGCTTATATCAAAGGGTCCTACTTAATCGTCGTGGAATGAATGTGTAGTATACATTTCGAAATAAATTGTGTTCTACCAAGATCATCTAATGTGTGTTTTACATAGTTATGTTAATTTTGTAATTTAAACAAGCATAGCTATGTTAAAATCCTTGATACGGCCTCCTTGGAAAGCAAATCTTATGCTGAATTTTCTATTGGCGTATGAACCATGTTGGGTGGCTCGAATGAAGTGCAGTCGGAAAACTGATTAATTTTACCACTTATACTTATCATAAAACCAAAATCCAGTTGCAAAAGTTATCAGCTAACCTAAACCTACATTATATTTCAAAGTAACTTCATTTTGGCTTTACTTTACACAGATTGCAGTTTTCACTGTCTTCAATTGATAATATGTGTTCCCAGATTTGTTACGTTCGTATATCTTTATCCATTCACTAATCAATTTGTTCAAAATAATCATTTATTAAGAAATGGTCACTTCAAATGGTGGCTTATCGGAAATAAATCCCATGGGCTTGATCATTTTTATTTACATTATGTTGGACTGGGACATGTATTTGGAAAAATCAAGTGCCGAAGAATCAGATGGACTGGTCATATATTAAGAAGAGGCGAAGATTGTAGACTGGGAAGAGTTTTAAAAGGAAACACTACAGGAAGGCGACCCCGGGGAAGACCTAAGGTGGTGGAAGCAAGTGCAAGAAGATTTTGAGAGAATTGGGGCAACGGAGGATGATGCAAAAGACCGGTTAACTAGGTGAAGATTTGTTGGTGCGGCCAAATATCACCTCCGATATAAATGGCCCTGGGAGTAAGTAAGAGTAATATTGGACTGGGAGCATCACATTGGCGGCTCCTGAGTTAAAATTAAAAGCTTGCATGAACTATTAAGAAAAATGCGCTGGCCTACGAAGTTTTGTTGAACTAATTTGATTGTTTTTCCTTACTAGAGAATTTCTCCCATAGGAAAATAGTTATTTACGTTAGTGGCTAGGTAACACCTAGACCTGGACCTGGAAGGGACCAAATACACGATTAGTTCAAAGGTATTAGTATATGCTAGGTACACATTGTATCCTATTTCATCATTATGAAGGATTATTCAATTATTGTATGTTTCTTGCATATGGTAAACCTTGAGATTAAATTTATAAGCCATTGGAATTTAACTAACGACGATTCCTGACCGTCATAGGTTTGTGTCTCCAAGATGTTTCTGTTAACCACACACACAATACTCTATATTTATGTAGATGCGTTAAATGCAGGACCCCACAGTTGGGTTTAAGTGGTGTAAGTACGGTAGTGGGTGGTCTAGCAGTAGCACGTGATATGCCAGATGTTGTTTTGTTTACTCTATGTCAACTCATCTTCAGCCGGATTATTTGTTTTATGAATCATTAGCTCTTTACGGCACCCCTGATTGGGGATTGCTGCCACAGTTAACTGATTTCCCTGAAATCTCATCACCGCTCGGGAGAAACAAAAACAAATTGTGCAGGATCCTGTTTGAGTTCGTGATTTTATAAGTTGCCAGAAGTTTTAAAACGCGCTTCTATATTTGGTGGGAGCTCTGAATAAAACATTAAAATCCTACTGATATTATAAGTGAGAAAGTCTGGATGTATGGATGGATGAATGGATGGATGAATGGGTGGATGTTTGTGACAAGTAAACGAGAAAAATACTAAACAGACAGGGTTGAAACTTGGTATGATGATAGTTCAGATTCCCAATTAATATATAGACATAACGAATTATGCCTAGTATTGAATTATGTCTAATAATGAATTATGTAGGTCCAAAGAACACTCGAGGTTATATAAAATTTGTGTATTATAAAATAGTCATAAATTAACAGGACTAGAACCATCATTTAACTTAACTTTAAGACATCTTGTACATTCTTAATTAACACATTTTTATTGCAACAAACAATAAACTAAAATAAAGGTATAATATAAAATTCATCGTAATTTTGACTTTTCGTCCTAAAAAGTGAATAATTTTAGAAAATAAATGCTATAGTAGAAGAAATATTAAAACAAACACTGTTTATATTAAACGTGGAGAATTTTTAAAATAATTACGTAAGATAAGTAAACAAATCACATACCTCAATATACATTACTATATTTCAAAATTTCTAAATAAAGAATTAAAACAAAAACTAAAGGAATCACATGGGAACATTTAATAAACCGTGTTTAAGCTAAACTAAATTTAAACACTTTTTTGAATCATGGTAAGTGCAACATTCAAACTAGATGATACGTAGTCTGATTCTAAGTCTAGTCTACAGCGAAAGGGGACGATGGTGGCTCCAGCGTATCCATGGTGTCTGGCAGGGGATTGGAGGTGACGGCTCCTTGGAGGAAGGGGTAGTAGTAGTAGGCGGGCAAGGGTAGCTGCAGTGTCTGCAGGGGAGATGATGGGAACATGCCTGCCACCCTGCAACATGCAAAGGAGTTAAGGAAACGTAAACATTGGTAGTGTGAAAACCTATATTGTTGGTAAAGTAAAAAACATTTGTTGAATTGTGATTGAAACTGGTGCCATGATCTGTATTTTATAGCAATCCACAGATTGCCCTCAGTAACTATATTCGTTACAAAAGTAGTGCCTTTTCCAGACTGTGCTACATTTTGTATTAACCATGGTATAATGTAGTACTTAGCCTGTTTGCCAGGTTGTACCAGGTGTGATTGAACATAACTCTACTTTTTTAGTTGAACTTGAGCAGAATATAACAAACAAATGGATGTTCTATTCTGTTCAGTCTGAAGTAGGCACAAATTTTAAATGAAAATAATTAATTGCTTGGAGTAATATGTGGCTGCAGCTGCGTTTGTACTACTTTTGATATTTTTCGCAGTCTTGAAACTATACAGTTCCATTCTAATCTTCCAGTTATTTTGTTGATTATTTTTCAGATGGACATAGAATAATTCATTTGTCTTCAATTTGACTATTTCCTGTATAAATTCGTTAAATTTTCATAGGGATTGTATATTATCATATAGAAAAGGTTAAACTTGTGAGCACAAAGCATTTTTTTTACTGAGGACATCGGAACTCCCTGATAACCAAGTATCAAGGAATTGAAAAGAGATTAAGAAACTCATACTGTTAATGAATAGCTTATAATTCGTATGAAGTTAATGTACTAAGTGCTCTCCATGAAGCTTTTGAAACAAATCTATGATAGAGATAAATGTGTCTACTTCTTGAGACAATTTTTTACTCTGTAGATAGGTGCATTTATCTAAAATAAATCGCAATAGAATCGTCTACATTGTTTCAGAAGAAATCATATGTATCAGGTAATGATGACAAAAATCAAAGGTTCACCAGAAAGTGTTTAAATAAATCAAGTTTCACGAAAATAGAATCAGGTTTTTAATTACTCTTTTACCAACGAATACCAACAAGTTTTGATATACTTTCAAAATCAAATCTTATCCGAGCCAAACAATATATTTTTGACAGTTAAAATGGGTTTATTAAAGATACATTTAATGCTCCAAAAAAAAAAGATTGCCCAAATGAGGGAAAATCACAGCTATTGAGGATTCGCCAGAAAGCGATATTTTCTATGATAAATGAATGACCACGAATACAGAGTTACTTCTATTCTTTTACTTAAGAATACCAACAGGTCCTTACAGAAGAAAATCTTATTCGGGCAAAAATAACCTGTATACTTCAATTCATCATGAAAGTCATCATCAAAGGTAATTCAAAGTTCATCCGTAGCTCATGTACCTTCCATGCCCAGCGGTCACAGGTCTGTCATCCCTGACTAGCACTTTGACCGCCACCCTCTTCCCTGGCCCGTCGGCGAGCAGCTGTCGTCTCTTGGTCTTGTACCGACGGTTCTGGAACCAGATCTTCACCTGGGTCTCGGTCAGTCTGAGGGAGTGAGCGAGATCAGCGCGCTCGGGGCCTGACAAGTAGCGCTGCTGGTTAAACCTGAAACCATCAATTCGTGACTTTACAAAATAGGCTAGGAGTACTAGCAATCTGTACTACTTGCACACTAGCTGCTTGCTGAATGGCAGGGGGCCTTAAGCCATAAAATGGTCTCAGTGGTTTCTGCAAAATGCAAAGCAACAGTACGCTTAAATATAAGTTAGGATTTTTGCTTGCTATAGGTCAATCTTACTTGGATACTTGGAGTATTCCCACTAGTATTGCATCAGCGACGTGGTCGTCAGGTCTTTACTATACTATTGCCATGTAAAACTGGAAACCCAGCTAAAGTATAGGGTTTTACCATTACACCATACACAGTACACAGTACCATACACAGAGTATAAACTTCCAACCCGATGTAAAATTGGAAGCCAAGAAAATATATAAAGTTCATGACCATCTAACCAGAGGGCACAAGTGTATTGGGTTAAATATAAATTAAAATCCATCCCAACAGCTGATTGATTTATCACTTGACACGGAATATTGACATTAGTTGGCAGATCATCTCAACAGGTTGCACCACTGTTTTGGCTTAACATTTTTACATTGGATGGGAAGTCAACAATGTGTATACTGTAGTCAATAGTTTTACACGGTAGGTAAAATATTTTCAGTTGACAAATTCCCGCGGTCTTTCCTCCGTCGTAGTTTAATTTGGAAACGTATTCACCAGTCTGTTTTCTTGAACAATCTTCCCAGTTAATCTTTGTAGATTTTTTCCTTCAACCTAATGGTACACTTTTGTTTGTGACCATCAACACACCTTTCCCTAATCTAGCATCTTAGTGATAGGATCTTCTGGGACAGATTTTTCTTCCTGCTACAAATACTTTATATTCCCATATTTTCTCCGGTGTTCGTGGTATATTTAGTGGGGGATTAGGGGAGGAAAATAATAGGTGGATTAAGAAAAATATTAGACGGTTACCTCTAAAGACTGGAAGTGAGATCATAGGGATTGAGAGCGGAGAACAGATAGGAGTGAAGGTAGATGTATGGATATATGCTCTACAATAGCTATACTGCCAAATATTGACTAACCAAGTGTGCTATTTTTACTTCGGAGTGAAGAAGTGTAAGGTACGTACCTTCGCTCCAGCTCGTAGACCTGCGAGTGCGAGAAGGCCGCCCTGGATCGCTTCTTGCGGCTGGAGGAGTCAGGGTGCCTGGGGGCAGTCATGGGTAAACAGGAGGGTCGTAGATACAGCAGGGATCCTGGACCTGGAGTTCGGACCATCTCCTCTGGAAATTTGAGATCACAACCGTAAATCGTTTGATCTGGTAATTCAGAGCAAGCTTATTCTAGTAGTAAAGTAAACCGGTTCCTGGACTATATCCTGGGCTGTTCTCGATTGGTATTATACAGGGTCAGGAACTATATGGTTATGGGTTCACTGACTACTTTTGAAGATTACTACATTTATTATGTCTCGTAACACTTGACAAGGTTGTACCTTGTTAAATTTGTCACCAGTTTTAGTAGTTGTTTTTTTCTACAAAAATCGTCGTTGTTGATGTGAGCCACTGACAGATCCTGTTGATGTTAATTACTGATCATATAATACACGATCAGTACAAACTGATGGAAAGACTCATTGTGAGCTATGGCAAAAAAGATAGAAAATACATTTTTACACGATTGCATTATGTGACTGACTCACATAAGTGCTATAAGTTCTTTTTTAGTCTCAAATCAGCTGTGTGCATGTGCATTTAGATGGGATGTTTACTTCAGTATCAAATAGTCAATGGTTGAAATCTCCTCTTATGTGTGTAATTTTCAAGTCTTGAACTATTACATCTAAATATGATGAAATGTTTAAATTTTTTTTGTAAGCCATTACAACAGCAATCTACTCTCAATCAGTCGTTTGTGTTCAACATCAAGGCACTCAAGAGTTTCGAACATAACATCACTCATCAACACAAGTTCCGGATTTCACAAAATATCCAAGGAGGCAACTTGCAGAATTCACATCTAGATCTAAATCACTGATACAAAAGTTAATTCAACTCTATATCCATGCATCGGAAAATGGTGTTAGTAAATTTGAGTTGGTGAAACTAATGTACGATATCATCAGTGTAAAAGGTTAAGCGTATTTAACGTTGTATAAGAGTTAATAACTTAAGAAAGCTATGCATTGGAATCTGAATATCCTATTAGTTAATATATGTGATCTGAAAGGCATTCGATAGAAAATATGATTGAGCAAAGGAAATTGTTGTCTGTTTTCAGATACAAAGTTTACTAAAATGATCACTCGAGTTCAAATTCTAATCTGAACTGAAGAAAACCTGAACTGATTAATCTATCAGATTCATCTGATAGAATCATCATTACTTTAAATAAAATAGTTCTGGTAAGCACAGAGGCTTAGATTTTTGTCTTTAAATTTCAAAAGTATTCCAATTTGTACTATATATAATATTTTTTAAGTTTATTACCGCTATTATATTTAACTAACCGCTATTTATTATCCATCCCAAATAGATTTGAACAATTGTTCAGAATTTTTTGAATTAACTTTTCAATCACAGAACATTTCTCGTTAAGAATTTACCCATCGGAAGATAGCAATTGTTTATACGACAGGTAGTTTCATTAAACTTGTTTAATGCATATCCTTCCTGGACTTTTAGTTTCCAGTACATGTATTTTGTAACGAAACAAAGAATAAGTTCAACAAATTTAATTCATTTGGTCGATCCGATCTAGTCCAACATTTTCACGATTTTCACCATCGATCAACCAGAGTAGGTAATCTAAGATCGAAAGCTCTGCTAAACCTTACAGAACGTAAACAATTAACGACTAAAATAAGCGAAGTTAAGTAGTTAAATCTCGCAAACTCTCCCACCAATTAACTCGCAAGTAAAGTTTGTTTGTGCAAGACGTAAAAACAAACTGCGCGAAGAAACCGGGACAGGTCAGCCAACTGAACAAACTGATCGTGAGTGACATTGTTGTGAAACAACAATGAAAACGAGGACCGGAAGTTTAAGTCCATTAGAGCCATCAGCTAATGCACCATCGTCCATTGATGGCGGGTAATATGGTAAAAGCTTCTAGTCGTTCCTGGCACCCATCGGCACCATCGGCACCGAAGTTTGACGCCTTCGAAGAGAAGAGTAAGAGACAAATGATTGTATCATAGTCTCTGAAATAACAATTTCTGATTGTCCATATAAGCAGATCGATAATCTTAAACGCAAACCACCCTCAACACAAGGGAGAGGATCAGTCAAATTTTTGCTTCAAGAATACATTGCAAATGTCATTTATCTCCTTTTTAATGACTTGCATAGAATTGAATTGACTTTGTTAGAAAAAAAGGAAAAGTACAAAGAAAGAAAGAATGATCAATTGATGCTATTTACTGACAAAAAGGTGACGACGTTAGAGAATGCAAGGTAGTTAGGTCTTTTTAAGAAATTTTTAAAGTGAGTTTGGTATTATTTTACATCAAAAAGTGTAAAATTGTCAAAAAATAATAAATATGTTTTTTTATTAAAAACTAAATTTAAAGTTGAATTAAAAGACGCATACAAATCGTAGACCATATAAGGTACAACTTAACCAATTTTACTTGTTCTGATAAATAGCGTACTAGTTTAGTTGTAGTAGTGGATGGAGAAAACTGTAGATAATAAACCCAAACAATTTGTTCAGATTATGTAAGAGAATAGGATCGATTTAAAGGTTTGTTGAACGCCATCTTAAATAACTACAATAGCTACAATAACTACGATTGAGTACAATTTTGTACAATGTTATCGTCCCAACTGTGTATTGCAAGTAATACGAATTTTCAGTTATTACTTTATTACAACTTACTGTTCAGTTTTTACTGACATTGATTGAAGGTTCTAAAATTCCTTTGACTAGCAAATACAACATATTTCTTTTATTATTTGACAATTTGAATAATATGTATAAAAATGTCAACTAATATTAGTTGATTTGTGCTTGTACTACATCTTCTTCAGAGAGAACTTTATTTTTTTATGTTCTAAGTTTAGAACATTCTAAACTTTAGAACTTTAAGAACGTTCTAAGTTTAGGTCACTCCGTAAATCCCAAAATATAACTTGATAGCTTATAATTTATTTTTTTAAATCCATTTATGCTGTTTATTTGTGCTCTCGGAAACCTGTTAAAAAAAATGTAATATTTATAACTCTTATTAGGGATGGTGCTTTAATAAAATTGAAGACAGCCTCCTTATCTACGGTAGCCTGCACGGAAAGAAGCCTTCCGTACGGAAAGAATGTAAAGGAAGTACAGCGCTTTCTTTACAAGTAATTTAAGTTCTAAGTTTAAGTTCCAAACGTAAGCTATAATTACTCTAATATTATTATTTTACTTACTCAAGTAAGAAAAAACTTACACTACGAACAAAGGCGTTTTATTTAGACCCAAACAGCATTTATAATGCATTAATTATATATTTTATAAGATACGTGCAAACTTTGTGACCAATAAGGCATGATTTATTTGTATTCATACTTTCTCCCACATATAACCGAACAAAACAAGCATCTGTGAGTGAAAATTCGAAAAACTCTTCACAATTTAAATCTATGCTATTAAATTCAAAAAATGGCAAAAAGAATATCCTTACATTTTGTAATTTCAATTCAAAAGTCCATATTTCTTTTATATTTTTGAAATGTCAATGAATAACCTACAAAATATTTCTTTAAAATATTGAAAAGAAATGCTGATCAGATACGTCAATAATAATGTTGTTTCAATTTAAAAATGTAAAACAGAAATCGGCAATGTCTGCTGGACAATATGCGCCATGCGTTACATAACCTAAGCCCACAAAGACTTCAGAAGCGGGGCTGGTGGCTGGTAGTCTACATTACTGGTCAAATGTATTTAACAATCGCAATGGAATTCAAAAGCCTTTCGCAACATTCACTTTGATAACTTTTATTTACAGTATCTAAAGATGTGATACATACAATACAATCAATGTAATTTTTAAAGAGATGTCAGCACAATCCTGTAAGCATTTAAATTCAGTTATAACATTTTTTCTTAAAACATATCTTCTGATACTTTGTTTTAAATTGAACGTATTGTTTTCTAATAGGAACACCTACAGTTTTCTTGCCCAATTTGATCAGTTGGGAACTGCAACTACATCTTTTTCGTATCTACCTCGTTCTACTGTATTTCTGTTGTTGCCTTAAAACTGTTTCAATTTATTGTCCTAATATACATGTTTAGGCCTATATATCTTTGTGCAGTGGTTTAAGATGTGGACTCTTCGTCAACGCTTAAGAATAATAATGGGAAATGATCAAGTTCTTTGAAGGATTGAGACCGTGGTGTCATTGTAAAGAAGTATTAACAATCTTAAAGCTATATTCCACTTTGATGGTAATTAGGTAATTTTTTAATTTTGTATGTAAGAGATGCTAGAGAGAAATGTTTAAATAAATATTCTACGAAATAGTATATTTCATCACTAGGGCCTAAAGTGACTCTTTTTGACCCGAGGTCAAGTTATGCGATCGAGGCGAAGCCGAGGTCGGAAAATGAGCGAGGGTTAAAAAGATACTTTTTGCCCATGTGGTAAACCATATTTTTCGTCATATGCATCATGAATTAACAAACAAAGGTAGAAATCGAAATAATTGTTATGTAAAGATAACCTCTCAAAACGACTTCCAGCTTGTTTTCAATTCTGCTAATACATAAAAGCCGCTTTTTATGTATTTTATTCAATCATTTCGTCTATTACGATTGTGTTACAGTACATATTACCATTGACTAACCATCGATATGTCGAGCAATTGACAATAGGCCAAAATAGACTTTACCTAATAAATAAATCAATAAATAATTTTTGATCAATACCATTGCCACAATTGAAATTGACAACTGTTTACAACAGCTGATTTTTCCTCCCTAGAGACTAAAAGTGATTTTTACTCTCTAAAAATACTATTTTAAGAATTAACTGCACAAGAAGTTTTCTTTACAATTGTAAAAAATCTGATATTTTACAGCAATATAATAGTATGTAATCATAATTGGGGGCGCTCTTAACCGTTAATTTAGACACGCAACGCATGTATTAAAAACGGCTGTTTTTACTGCAATATGACGAAAAATGCGCTTTTAAGTTTCGGCTGCGTGGTTGAAGGGATAAAGTGTTCGCACGGTTATTAGAGAGAGGGCTACCAGTTCAATCCTGAGAAGTGGTTTTTGAACAGTTCTAAACTGGACCAGCTGTCCTTGATCACTCAGGCCTTTAATAAATGTTCCTTGCTATAACACCGGAGCACATGAAAAGAGCCCGAAATTTTAATCCTCAAAAAGGTTCACTAATCTTAAGCATGGAAAGAGCCCGGGTCTCCACAGGAGACGCTGACTATAAAGTGTGTGTATAATATAGTAGTGTTTTAGTAAATAGTGTTGTGTTTGGTTCGGTTAGGTTAGGTAAAGACAGACTATATCTTTTAGTAATGTAAATATCTTTGAATAATATAGCCTATATTTTATTAATGTATCTTTTAACAGTGTATCTTTTAATATTGTAAATAATTTCATGTATTTCAACTGTGTTATTGGTTCTTTCTCCTTTGAAGACCCGTTGTGAAAGTTCTAGAAAGAGACCGGGCTCTTTTCGTACTGTCCTAAGAGGGACCTTGGAGGTCCGAGCGCTTTTCAAGCGTCTGCCTGAGTTTTTGGGCTCTTTTCATGTGCGCCCTATAACACAAGCCTGTCTCGGCCAGTAAAAAAGCTATCATCTGATCCACATTCATCCTTCACTCGACTTCTCCTTAATATACCCACCCGGGTCTCTTGGTGTCGTATAAATATAGATTATAGACTGACGAGGAATCTCATATTTTTCAGTAAATGGCTTGAAACAATTAAACAAGTTTTATTGTAATATTGTTCGGTTAAAGCTATGTTTATAGAGTTTTAACAATCTCTTTGGCCCATTGCAATAATAGTTTACTTACAGTGTATTAGAAAAAAACGTATGTAATAAATGTAACTAAAAACTGGAACAAAGATTTTAGTACAGTAGTTACAGTAACATTTTATTGTTGTCTCTTTGAAATATTTTAAAGTATAATTTTAATAAATAGTTCTATATTTAAAAGATTTTAACCAACCTAAAATAATTAAAATGATTCAATAGGCAATACATCCTTTTTTTATTCAATCTTAAGCAAAAGATTTTAAAAGACAAAAAGTTATGGATTTACTTGAACCCGTTAATTAATCTTCCACGGTATTAAATTTGAGATTCATTAACAAAACCTATCATGTAATAGATATGTTAGGTCGCTTTTAAATCATAACAATTCGGATAAAGGAATTTGTTCAGTTGCATTCGTTGCATCATGTGATTTTCATTGCTACTTATTAATTTACCTATATTTCTTACTGTTTAAACTACCTTACATTAATTACAAATTGTTTGATACAAATAATTGTTATGAAACTATCACATTCTTCCCATTAGTATTTATTCGTTTTAAAACTAAATTATTGGTTGAATTTCCTACTTCTTGACATAAACAGAGAATATATTATTTATTAATATTTATCCAGGAGTATCAATTGCCCAAAGTAAATCCCTAATAAAAAGTAGTATTATTTCTAGGTTTTATTTCGTCCGAAACAAAAAATTATGGAATATTTTAATAAGTATAACAATAAAATATATGTTTAAAATATATTATTTTGTGTGACTGGTACCCCATTTTTTGAATAAATGTTTTGAAAAAAAATAACTAACAGGCTTACTAAACAAATGTATTTTTTTGTCGTTAAAATATGTATAGATATTTTATCACTAAAGTTGTTATGAGATTAAAATCCCTCCAATGATGTTCAACTGATCTGAATGTTTATGGTTTTATAAGATTAATACGATCAATAGTCCTCAGACAAAAAAGGCTGATAATTTATTGCTGAATGTGTAGCATTGAGCACAATTTGTAAATTCCTATAGATTTGTAATTCTCTTTTTGTTACTCAAACAATTCATTTTAGTGAATCGTTGTAGAATAAAACATAGTGATCCAAAAATACACGATAGCTTTTAATCCCAGGTGCATTTTTCAAAATTGTTTTGCAGCTTAACATGTGGTTAAAATAAAATAAAGGAAATAATAATATAAAATCATTTTTTTCTATAATCTCAAACGAATTCGGAGTTAAATTCAACTAAAGAAACAGGATTTAAAGAATTATTTCTTTTACGTTAAAGTCTCTTTAGGTCAAAGTTACCAAGAGTATTGTTTATTTTCTTATTTTATTTATTCTGTTTTCCCCCGGAATGTAAAAGAATTTACATCCATAACTTGCTGCTAATCCTTTTCCAGCACCACCATTAATCGTGTGTATCTTAATTTTCCTGGCGTAATACACAAAAGAATCTAAGAAAAAACGTGAACATCAACATGTAAATGAATGTAATGATAATCGACAATTTGTTTGATAATGGATTGGTAGAACTGTTAAAATTGTAATTGCAATCTGTAGTTTTTACACATAGAAACTCCATATAAATAAAATTTAAAATAACCTTTAGCGACGTATAAATATATTTTAGATTATTTAAAATATCTTCCTATCAAACAGGGGTTTCCCAAGATGTGTTCAGTATGCTCTATAATGTAGAAGAATTCCTCAGGAAATAATCTTTCGACTTTCTACCGTATCTTCATAGAAAATTTTTGTCTTTTCTAAACATGAAGACATATTTAAAATTTAAAGTTCTTGTCTTGCTATTCGAAATGATAACTCAATAGTCATATTATGTCAGAAACGATCTATTTTTCAACAACAAACTAAATTCTTAAAAATAATTTATGATCACTTAGACCACATCCGGTATACTTTAAAATGAAAAAAAAAAATTAGGAAATTCTAGAAGTATTATAATCTTGAACAGCTATAAGTAAAAAAAGAACAATAGGGTGTGCAAACGTTTTTAATAAATAATTTCATAAATAGTTTTGGTTTTAAATTACATGTTTAATGTATCTTTATAGGATTTTAATTTTTATATACCCTAAAGAATGGTGACACGGTTCAAATATTTTTAATTCGACTTTGGTCTTACCATAACGGATCCTTTCAGCTTTACTGGACATGTCTAGCGCTTGATCCTGTGAACTCCTGGCTTGATCCTTAAGGATGTCTTCGATCGAGAACGGTGTAAGATTCACAGAACATCTTCTCTGTGGACTGTCTCTATCTTCCGGTTCCGTTTTGAACATTTCCCACCAGAAACTAATCACATTTCACACCAAAGTTCGAAAATAAAATTACAATGCGAGCAAAGTCGGTAGAAAAAATGTATTGAAGAAATATTTTTACGTAAGTTTTGTTTCGTCCTCAAAGTCCCCAAACACTTAGTTTATCCCGGAGAGTTCCTATATTCCCGGATCCCGAGGGAGAACAAATCGTCTGCTCTAACAAGCGTGGCCCGATCAGCTGTTTAGTGTCAGCAGCTCTTTACCGTCGACCAATCAGAAGCCGTTATTTCTCCCCTCCCGCCAAAAACGAGACCTCCCCGCCAATCACACTGCCGTTGCTGTTCAATTACAAGAAAATGTCTTTGAAGACGAGTTTATAGGTTTATGGGTTCGATACTGAGAAACTGTTTACGACTTTCGGATGTTTTCTGTTAATAATTGGTCTGATTTGTGTTTTGTACCTCGGAGATTAAAGGATAGGTAAAACTTTGTGATTAAACAGAACAATTATTATTTATTTGCAAACCGATCTGTTTTCGCACCTTTGAGTTGGAAGTATTTTATTACAATTTTAGCTATACAACTTAAAATGTATTGATAAGATTATTTGATTCTATTCTTCCCAATACATTTTTGAATATTAAAATCATAATGTATTTTTCCATCATACTACTGGCACCTTACTTAAAAAGTGGAAGCATAAATGATTATACTGTATTAATGAATTATAATACTTCTTTATATTGTAATAAATATATTTATATATCTACTGAATGTATAATTATCATAAGCTACATCATTATATTTCTCCTATGCATATATTTCTCCTATCTTCGGTTGCAGCGCTAAATCAACAAAGCTTCATTGAAATTTATATAAACTGCTTTGCAAAAATCTATATTTGATGTGGTGTTTAATTTCTAAGCTAATGAATTCCTCCTAAAACCATAATAATGCACAGAGAAGTATTGTAATATTTAAATATTCAAATATTCCTAGCACTTTATAGCACTTTGGCACTTGTTAGTCCTTTAGCTGGTGGTAATATATAAGGATTTTTACAGTTGTTTTTATTATTAAGTTAGCTTAGATTAGTATGGCGTAAAATGTGGTTACGTCACTCATGCAAAACGTATTTACCGGACTCGTATGGTAATCCCGCGTCCGGTAAAAACCTATTTTCAGGACTAGTAACGTAATACTATTTGGAACATATAATTATAAATACAAATGTTCTAATAGATGGTATGATAAACAAAAATAATGGTAAAAGTAAAATGTCCACAATAATAACATTTGAAATTTAAGGATTTGTAGGCATTTCCCTTGAGTAAAATAATTAGGAAAACTTTTTAACTCTCCTATTTTTGACCTGAATAATCAGTATACCTAAACTCAGCCTTCTAGCTAGTCTGGAAGTTGGTGAATTAGTGATGAATCAGTGAGTGAGTTAGTGAGGACTTTTACTTTTATATGTTTAGTCGATGTTAAGAAACCCAAGAATTTGCAAACATTAAATCCTAGGTCGATCATCCTTACCACAACAAACTATACTCTGTTCTACATTTACTTATGGACTGGTTTCACACCAAGAAGTGTCGCGCGATTGTTGCGGTGTTGCCAGTGGCGACATGATCACGTGACCTCATCAGCTGATCATTGTTGGCCACGTGACCACCACAGGACACCAGCCCCTGTAATACGCTTAAATAAACACTCCGGAATACGATTACAGAATCATTTAGTTCCGCCCGACGGCAAGAGCGGTTAGGGGAATAAGAGTGATTCTAACGAAAGTACCCTCAAATTGTTCTATTCATTCTTCTCTTTGAAATTCGAGTGAATTGGTGTTACATTTCAATTGGTATCTCCGGTCTTGTGCATTATGACAACAAATGTTAAAGCATAAACGGCATGGATCATAAACATAAGCAAATGATGTCACAGGCCCGAAAGTAGACTTGTTTAATAACATATAAATTGATTTGTCAAAAATACTTAAACCAAACTGTTACGGCTAATAGTATTGACATTTGGGCCAGTGGCGTCATGTCTTTATGACATGATCGTCAAATCGTCTAGCCTTATAATCGTCTCCACATTATAAGCCATAGCGTTTCTGTTCTATTATTCGTAGTTTTGACACAGGGCGAGTTTATGTGTGTTTAACGAAACTACAGTATAAATATTTAAAAACCCATCACATTAATAGGGGAGAATTACCGTAGAAGGTGTTATAATCTTTTATGTATTATTGGTTGAGTCAAGTGGTATGCCTACCTATTTTTAGTAGGCTTTGAATTAGGTAGTAGCTTTGAATGCCACAAACCGCAATGGTTGGGCGAAACATAATTGGTGACATGTAGATTGGAAACAGCAATAACAAATAATCGTAGGAAACAGTATTATACGATTATATTCATGTTTTTAAAAAAACAGGTGCAAAGTAGAAAATATTAAATAAAAACGAGGAAAACATTTAATGATTTATCATTTAAGAGTTCTTCTTGAAAGGTAGCGGCCATCTTGGATAATTTCAAAGAGCTGCTGAAGAGATAATTATCATCCAAAAATATTTTTCACAAACACCAATGTAATTACAGTTTAAATATCTAGGAGATTAGAAAATTTTATTTTTAGTTTTGAATTCATTGTTTTCCAAGGGAGTCCATGGAATCCAACGGCCATCTTGGATTTGCCCACCATAAGGGCATTGTTAATTTAGTTAAACAGCCGCTGAAGAACTATTTACCATATCAAGATATTTTTCAAACGCCAAAGTGATTTTAATTTAAATGTCTAGTGCACGGTGAAATTTAAAATGTTCTTTTTAGTTTTAGCGAATTTTCCATATAGGGAATAAGCTATTACCGTAGGTCTCATGGTAAGACCTAGACCCGGGACCGATTTACTTTTTTATTTTGAGGTTCCCATAGGCCAAAAACGCCATCCGTTCAAATTCATATAAATATATATTTATATATTTGTCCGTTATCGCGATAACTCGAGCAAAAATGATTCAATTTTGATGAAATTTGGTACAAACTTGTAAACCTACGTTTATTTGAACGAGTTCAGGGGTTTATGGGAGGGGGGTTATGGGGTAAAAATAGATTTTTCCCATTTTTGACCCTAAAAACTTTAAATTTCTAAATTCATCTCTAGACCATTTTGAGGAGCTTAAAAAAACAAATAATTTAGTATATTGAAGTGTTTTTGAATGTTCATTGACTACGGAGAAAATTTAAAAAATTGTAAATTTAAAATTACCATGTTATTCTTATGGAGAATAAATAAACTGTTGTAGTTTGCTTGTTTATGCATATATTTTAATATAATTTGGCAATTAGGTTTATTTCATACTAAGCTATCAATATTTCAATAAAAAACACACCTCAATATCTTCTCCGTAGTAGCAAACCTAACTCCTCACTAAAATTAATGTTATAGAAAATAAATCTGAAAATTTATAGGGGATATTTTAGTAGAAATCAAATAGGGTAAATGGAAATTCGCTAAGTATGCAGGTTTGCTGTGACGGGGGTATTTTATATATTGTTTTATGAGTGAGAACGTCTAGCCTCTAAGAAAAAATATTCACAAATGAAATCACTGGCCAAAACCTGACATATTGAGCAATAAAAGTGCGCAGTAAAAGATTCACAGTATTTACAGTTCAAATTTTCAAATGTATTTTACAAAAGTGGGACATTTTTAAGAGTCGTTTAAAGTTTTTGAGAGGAGGCAAGAAGCCACTTTGCTGGGTCAGGCGCCAGGGACGATTTTGAGCGGGCGAGGGGGAGATATTGGCGGTAACGTGAACTGTTCACCAAACATCTCTAGTGGCTTGAGTGAATACCACTTGTGTTTGTTTGTGTACTCCATTTCACCCCTTGGCCTCACATAAGACCAGGGCATCCTTTATAGTAGGACAGGTGTCTCACTACTGTACGCTCTACATATAGTTGTGTACTCCATTTCACCCCTTGGCCTCACATAAGACCAGGGCATCCTTTATAGTAGGACAGGTGTCTCACTACTGTACGCTCTACATATAGTTGTGTACTCCATTTCACCGCTTGGCCTCACATATGACCAGGTCATCCTTTATAGTAGGACAGGTGTCTCACTACTGTACTCTCTACATCTAGTTATGTACTCCATTTCACCCCTTGGCCTCACATACGACCAGGCCATCCTTTATAGTAGGACAGGTGTCTCACTACTGTACGCTCTACATCTAGTTGTGTACGCCATTTCACCCCTTGGCCTCACATACGACCAGGCCATCCTTTATAGTAGGACAGGTGTCTCACTACTGTACGCTCTACATCTAGTTGTGTACTCCATTTCACCCCTTGGCCTCCCATACGACCAGGCCATCCTTTATATTAGGACAGGTGTCGCACTACTGTACGCTCTACATATAGTTGTGTACTCCATTTCACCCCTTGGCCTCACATACGACCAGGCCATCCTTCATAGTAAGCCAGGTGTCTCACTACTTTACGCTCTACATCTAGTTGTGTACGCCATTTCACCCCTTGGCCTCCCATACGACCAGGCCATCCTTTATAGTAGGACAGGTGTCTCACTACTGGACGTTCTACATCTAGTTGTGTACGCCATTTCACCCCTTGGCCTCACATACGACCAGGCCATCCTTTAAAGTAGGACAGGTGTCTCACTACTGTACGCTCTACATATAGTTGTGTACTCCATTTTACCCCTTGGCCTCACTACGACCAGGCCATCCTTCATAGTAAGCCAGGTGTCTCACTACTGTACGTTCTACATATAGTTGTGTACGCCATTTCACCCCTTGGCCTCACATACGACCAGTCCATACTTTATAGTAAGACAGGTGTCTCACTACTGTACGCTCTACATATAGTTGTGTACTCCATTTCACCCCATGGCCTCACATGAGACCAGGCCATCCTTTAAAGTAGGACAGGTGTCTCACTACTGTACGCTCTACATATAGTTGTGTACTCCATTTCACCCCTTGGCCTCACATA